CTGCCATCTGACAGACAGGCCTCCCCTGGGCCTTTAGGGAGAAAACATGATTATGTCATAATATATTTTCGAATAGACATCCATTTGAAAGATTGCCCCTCTGTCTTTTCAATCTAACAGGGCTCTGCTTTTGTCAGGCGCAGTGGGAGCACTGGGAATGACAAATGCTTCAATGAACCAAACAGGAACAGAAATAAAGTGTTTACCAGGAGAGAAAAAAAATGTAGTCTCCAGAGACTGAAAACAGGGGCAAGAAATCTAGTTTCAGTAACAGTTCCAATAAATGAATCTCATTAGTCTGGTGACAACATTTTCCTTGGTTTACCTAAAAGTAAATACCCTGCAGAGCGGTCTTCATCCTAAAATCATGTTCATGGTTTTACCCATAAAGATGAAAACAGTCAATTCCAGCTTAATCTTAGAGCTGCAAACAACAACTCTACGGTCAATATATCGATTAATGTTTTACATATTGACAGAAAATATCTGCTTGTTAAATCAAATCACAGGGCTTTTCTGTCATTTTATAGCAACCTGATTACTTAAATACTGTTAGCTGAACGAAACATTTTAATAGATGTTTCCGCTGTGGGAAACACTTGTTCAAGCGATGTACCTACAAAAAAAATAAATAGGCAAATTAATGAACATGGCTGAAAGTTATCTAATAGTTGTCAAGATAGAATCTTTTTTTCCCAACAAATGGCTTTTATCCTGTGGCCCTGTAGGTTTATCACGGTGAGGCACAGAATACCACTTGAGCTTCAAGTAGTATTTGAACAGGGCGGAGCTCTCTCAGCGTAGAGATCATGCAGCCACTTCACCGCTCATATGTGTGAGAGCTTTCCAAAAAGCCACGAGACGCGGGTGGACAATCCTGTGATCAACGTACAGGCCTTTAGAGTGCACGCTGCTCTCTGCACCTCTGCACCGACGACTGCGCTGCGCCGCCGCGATGCCGAGATGAGAGCATTTTTCTGCACGCAGAGCAGAGTCAAAGGTCAATAACGGAGTGACCTTTCCCCCACACTATTCAAGCCACTGTGTTGATAGAAGGATACAAAGGTGGACTCAAAAATTCAGCAACTTCTGTGAAATACTAATAAGGATACGGGCCCTTTAATCGACATGCGAACGATTGGTTCTTCGATGAAAATATTTCAAAGTAGTCTACCAGTACATGCATAACTTGTTTGCTTATTGTCATGATTATCAGGCAACAGATAATGAGGGCACATTATTTTAACTTGTAAAACATCAGAAAATAGATCGCGGGGAGTTTGTTTTTCTGTAAAAAACACAAGAAATGTTAAACCACATTTTCTTTTAAAATGTCTCTGGTCTAAACTTTCCAAGAAGCTCAGATGAATTAATCTCATTGACAAAGTGAGACAAATATAAATGCTCCCAGTAGCTGTAGAAGGTCAAAATAATCTGTCATGATGGTTTTACTCTGGAGACACTCTTTACTTTCTTCCATGTCCCTCCTCGGTAACGTCGCCCCCCCTCAGCTCCCTCGACTCCCCCGACTCCCCCGACTCCCATCCTTTTCTCTTTTTCAACCACCTCCAGCCTCCGTCAGCATCATTCGCTTCACCTGGGCCGCCTTGCCGACTATGGGAGTTGTAGTTCTCCTGCGACCACTGGGAGTGAATGTACCTCCCATTGAGGACCAGACCTGTCAGGACATCACAATGTGCAACACAACAAGGCAATTTTCATCAACTCAAGTCCTCGATTCAGGACTTGTGGTTAGAACACAGCATTGGCCCGAGCCTCGGTCAACACAATCACAATAATTATTGAACACTAGCTGAGAACTATATCAACTGCAAACATACAAGCATTTCATGTGAAGTAGACAATCCCCCTTTTTTAATTCGGAATGTGGACCTAGCTGTTAATCAGATTTATGAAATTAAATTACAAATCGTACAAGTAAACACAGGAAGAAGACTAGGCCAAAGGGAAATCCAGCTCCCACCACTTTAGCTCAATACCACTATTTCCTCTGTAATTAGTCATGTTGCTATACACCTCCAGCTGTGCCTGACTCAAAGGATGTGTGTAGAAATATAATTACCGTGTTAGCATAATGCACATAATAAATAAGTGCTTGAGTAGTTGTCTTGATCTCCACATCAAAGAGCATGTTGGTTCCTTTTCAGGGCATCAGTATCTTACAAATCTAATTATTCTGGGTATTGAATTACTGAGACTTAATGGACATTTGGAATAAATAAAAAGGAATGTCTTGAAAGTCCTCCCAGTGGAAAACAATCATTGCAAAAAGGGGTAGTAATCAGAAGACGATGAAATAACCCATTGTGTTGGTCATCTAGTCCTTAGGAGGAATTCAGTTTTTCCATCTCGCTGGAACCTCCAGCTGGGGAGACGCAAACCTGCAAAGTACAGACAGTCCCTTGACCTCACCATCTAAAATGTCATCCAGTCCATTACTGGGCCCATGTCCTCTGACTAATCTGTGAGGCTCCATGTGGTGAAGTGCAACATCATGTCCTCATCTAGAAAGTCCTCTGAACATCAGCAGCCTGAACACAGCGGCGGCAGCAAGAGCAGCACCAATCCTGCCTAATCCAAATGAATCCGGGTCTCACAGGTTTGTTCATCCGGGTTGGAGGGTGATGACTGCCCTGCTCCGCTGGGGTGCTTATCGGCTGTCAGTGGTCGCTGGCTGTCCAGGCCTTGTGTTATCAGGGCTCAGCCTGCTTAGGGATTGGAGGGCCCGTGGAAAGTAAACACAGAACCTGTCCTTTGCTTATCTGTCCCTAGAGAGAGAGAGAGAGATGCACAGAGAGAGAAGCTTGTTTCCATGGTAACCTCCTCCTTTAACCCCCGCCCCCACCCCTCCTCTCTAGAGGAGAACCCCGGTGGTCTTTGTGTAATGCGATTCCAATAGAATGCACTGTGGATTAGAACTGCACAGCCTTCGGGCCCTCGGAAGGGCAACAGTGAAGACATTATTACCCAGATCAAATGCTGTAATCACTAGGCACTAGGGGCTTTGACATCCATTGCAGATAAAACCTAGGACTGGCAATACTCAGGTGATTACGGGATTATTATTCTGCATTTCAGCACGGTGCCAGTGCCTCGCTGTTAGAAAAGAAAGGAACAAAAAGCTGACTCTCTGTGATTGATGGGGAGGGCAGAAAACAGAAAGCCAGCCAAAAGAACCAGCCAGAACTCTGGGTGTCTGTAATCAATGCCCGGACAAGTATTCACAGTGCTCTGCATGTGCAGGCCCACATATTCACCTACCAGATCCCCCCTGATTGTCTCTGTATGGTCTACAAGTCTCGGCTCTAACAATCCAAGGAGAAGTAAAGAAGTTGACTATGTCCTTATGTTCGAGGGCGGCCACTCCAGTTCCGTAGTCTGCGGCGTAACCCTCCTCTAAACAGAATAAGGCAGCATGGGCTTTCACATGAGAACCTGCTGAAAGCCCTCCATTGAGAGGTAGATCAGCAGAAGGCGAGACAATGACCCCTCCAGTGTCCAGCAATAGCCACTCCGACGTACAACCTTTCATCTGCACATTTTCCACTGTTTGATTAAGTGAGGAACACAATTCTACTTGAGCAAGGAACTTAGGCTACAACTGCACACAGGAAGTACACACTCCAGAAACGTACAAAAAGAAAGGCTATAGCTTTTAACAAATGAGCCCGTGAGAGCGCAGCACGGCGGTTGGCTCCATCCTGAAAGCATCCGGCCCGGCTTTTATAGTCTAACAACAACATCTCTGAAGAGGCAGCCACATGAAGGGCTCACAGCTTCACGCAGAGTCCTAGAAGAGCCTCGCTCTGGAGTGGGAGGGCCGGGGCCATTCACCTCACCCGGTCCAAAAAAAAACAAAAACCCTCAAGTGCCAAAAGACCACTCGAGAGAACGTAAGAGCAGTGTTTGGGTCATATCCCTGAAGTGCCCCTGCAGAAAAGCTCCGCCTCATTGTATCACTCGGAGACGGCCCTGCGATTTTAAGCGGCGTCACCACACATAGATAGAACTCTAAGAAAGATACAGTACACTGCGACTCGGAATACTGCAAGTCAATACTTTTTGAGCCTGCAGCCTCTCAGCCAGCGCCTACGGTCTTCCTCTCGCGTCTTCGGCTCTCTCGAGACAGTTGTCACGTCCTATCTGGACGCATTTCCAGCAACTTACTGACAGACTTGCATTTACTGTCAAGGAAAGCCTGCGTGTGTGAGTCTGTAGTCGCATTAGATGCCAACTAGAGCAAGGCAGAGCCCTCAGTAGACACACTCTATAGGCAATGCACATTTTGAGGACACATCTCTGGTGTGCAGTCAATCCAGGAGACATTCAGCATGTCAGTTCATTTCCCTGAAGTTCCTCCCTTGAGTTCCTGGCGCAGTCAATCGCTTGGTTAAACGTCCCGTCCCGCTGCAGCAAATATGGATCAATAACCGCCTTACTTAAAGGAATAGTTTGTCACTTTGTAAGATGAGCTTCATCGTCAGAGACTACTTCCGAGCCTCATGTGTGGTTAACATAAAGCAGCAGCCAGTTAGCTTAGCATTAAGAGGAGGACGGGTGGAAAAAGCAAGCGTTGCTTCGTCCAAAGTCTGTCAACAGACACCTTTATAGCTCCCTAACTACCAATTAACACATTGGTTTATTCAATACATTTGATGTAAAACCGCATGGTTTTATCACACGCTAAGTGGTGGAAAACTGGCCAGGCTGTTCCTTAAGTTCAAGTAAACTACCAAGCCGTAAAGTTGCAGGACGTTACCTCGGCCCAGCTGATTTTCGGTTTCCTGTATTGTAGCGTGTCCTAAGTTCCTAAATGTATGTATTTACATTGAATTAACATGCGCTAAGGGAGCAGTGCTAATCTAATTGAACTTTTGGCAAGAGAGCCAATTAGCTTGTTTCCCCGTTAAAAAGAAGAAAGAAAAAAAAGATTCCTTTAAGAAAGAAAGTGTGAATAAACAACACACCACGCAAGAGAATTGTGTTTATATATAAAAACAGTTTATTGAGTTATCAACAACTGTCAACTGTACAATCCTTAGGGACAATGACACGCGTATGCTATACAGTCGGTGTGCTTACGCAGAGACCATTCCTGTCTATGAGAAGCTGAACATTATGAAATACTGAAGAAAGCAAACAGAGCATCACATGTGGTAATGGCTTTGACTGCCACCGTCATGAGTAAGCATGTAGGTCCTGTCACACAGGGAGTCACACGAGAGAGGCAATAATTAACTCTTAGACTGATGATTCAACTTTGCTGAGTGGATAAATTAAGATACATACACTCAAGTCAACAGACTGAACTCGAGTCACAGCTGCTTCTTGTTGTCCATTGAATGTCACTGAAAGCAGACAGTGTTCAGTGACAGGTCTTCATTATCGAGTTGAATTTCGTCACTGGAAACCACGATTTTCTTCTTTTCGAGTTGTAAAAAAAAAGAAAAAGGGTCTTTGCAGAATCTGCCACTGTTAGGATCCATGAGACAAACGTCTGTATTTCAGCAAATAGCCGAGAAAAATGCCGATGTCAAAAAAATCCAAATTAGATTTCCAAAAAGGTCATTCTGGACACAGAACATGGAAAAAAAAGCAGAGGAGGAAAAAAAACTGAAATAGAATATCCTCTTACAAAGTCCTAATCTAATTTCCATCCCTAGAGGGGACAGAAAACCACGGAGAGCACAAGAAAGAACCATCACAAGCGTAACTGGACACCAAAATATAAATCTATAAAAGGCCTTTTATTACTCCATTATGTACACTTTTCACAGGACCTCCAAGGAGAAGGTCCAGAGCGAAGCGCTGCTTCTAGTTGTGTCACTGAACTTAATCTCCACATTAAAAAAAAAAAAAAAAAGAAATATCCAACAAACAATAAAAGAGCGAGACATTATTTTCTTCGGAGTGCCTTGGGGAACTGCACCGGCTGTACAAGTCTTTGTTGTATGAATGAGAAGGTCGCAGCGTCCACGGGCCACAACGCGCCAACGTCCGCTTCAGTCTGGCACTGCCAAACTTCCTGCCCATCCACCCCGGGGCTGCAGGCAACATCCATGCGGTCTGTTTGAGGGAAGGTAGATGGAGGAGGGGGTCTAGTGTTCCTGAGCACCAGCGTGCTCCGAGCCAACGCAGCCTGTTCTAGTAGATGACTTCATATACAGTGGCCTTCTTGTCACCAGAGCCTGTCACAATATACTTGTCGTCTGTAGAGATGTCACAGCTCAGGACAGATGAGGATTCCTTGGACTGAAGAAGAAAGAAAGAAAGGGGAAAAAACAACAAAAAAAAACGTTAGTTTGGGAGGCGGTTAACATTTTAATCTACATTTGAGGTTAAGTGAAGAAGATTAGCTTACTACGAGGCAAGATTAGATAGTAATGACATCGAGATCTGGCCTGACGGCCCTCAAAAAGACTTCTTTGTCAGGTCAATAATTCAGTTCAGTTTTCACTGATGCTTGTGTCCTGTCGGGCAGCGGTCGCTTTGCCCTTCCTCTAAAAGACAACTGTGTATACTTTTGGACTGGCTGCAGACAGAGTGTATTGATCTGCATACCTGGAATATGCTGGCGCCATAAGGAGTCCTCCAAGCATTCAAAAGATTGTCCTTCCCAGTGCTTACGAACCATTTACCTGCAAAGGAAACAGCAGACTAAGACGAGGTACACAAATAGCCGCAAATGAAGAGTCCCCTGGGAACTTTCTGAACGGACATATGCAGTTTAGTACGGTCAGCATTATCCCGCCCTCATTTAATGTGTGTTCGTACCACAGTAGGCGAACTTGAGGGAGAGCACACAGCTCTCGTGCAGGTGTAGCTGATACTTGTCAGGCTTCGAGTGGTGGAGCACCTCCACATTGCTGCTCTCCATGCCCACAGCCAGCCACTCTCCAGTTGGACAGTAGCCCAAGGAGAAGATCTGCAAAGTGGACAGAACGGTAGTTACTCACAGTTCTGTGCGTCTGTGGAGATGTGTGTGTGTGTGCGTGTTATCCATCTCTTCTATGTTACAAGGTTGTACCTGCGAGGTGAAGTCATGCTGCTGCAGCTGCCGACCCTCCCTCAGATCCCAGGAGCGCACAGTGTTATCAAGACCGCCCGTCCAAAGCTTAGTGCCATCATGCGATATGTCAATACAGCTGGCACCATCCGTGTGACCCTGAAACTGCCTGCAATCAAAGTCAGAAAGCGCGCAAACAGTTATTGACGTCCCCAATTTTAAAATTGCTCACACCGCAGCGCTCATGTTCCGGGGCCAAAGCCCACACAATGCTAATAAGTGCCTTTGTCCGACCTAACGAGAGTCTGGTTGTGCAGGTCCCAAACGGCGATGTTTCCATCGCTGCAGCAGGAGAAGCAGACTTTGGCGTCAGGGCTGATGGCCAAGGCGTAGCACGCCGGGGCCGAGGAGGTCAGCTCCGCCTTGATGCGCGGCGTCTGGGAGGCCAGATCCCAGATGGTCAACGTGCTGGCTTCGCCTCCAACGATCAATGTGCGGCCATCAGGCAGCAGCTTACAGGAGCGGATGTAGTTATCCCTGTTCTGTTGCACAGAGGACAAAGCAAATCGATACGTGTTCAGGTCAGTGGAGCTAGAAAGAGATTTAGGAACAACTCCGTGGGAAAGGGTGAGGAAAATCCTCCTGTCATAACAAACAAACCTAAGGACCTTCCTCGTTGTATTCCGCCTGGTTACATTTGCACGTATATATTGTGGTAATGTACATAACGCATTTGAAAATGTTTTGTTTTCAGGATGATGCTGAAAGCGCTTTCTTCCATTTTGCAAAAACAGCTGCCACGTCTCTACCAATGTATTTGCAGTAAACTGTGCGCGCTGTGATCCTCGTGTATGATAAACTATTCTTCCATTGTGAATGGAATGAGGTCGCGCCGATAATTTGCTACCTTGCAAAACAAATACACCGACAGAACAAAAGAACGGGGTCATTAAGCACAACGTGACCCGGCGGCCGTGCTCACCAGACAGTCGAGTTGGGACACGGGACTCTTGCTACCAGGTTGGCTGATGTCCCAGATTTTGACACAGCCTTTGCCACCAGTGTAGACGTGACGTGTCGGGTTGCTAATGGTAACGGCGCAAACCACCTCGCCGTGGCTCAGCGTGTTGATCTGGCGGGCGTGGCGTGGGATGCCCGGGCCGATCAGGGCATCCGGCGGGAAGGGCACGGGCTGCATCTGACCGTCTGCACTGACGTGGAAGGAATAAGCCCTAGTGGGATAAAGACGCGTTAGTGGTTTGTATCACGGTTCTTTTGAAAAATGACATTTGTTGAGACACTTACGGTTTCCCCCCCGAAATTGATGTGAGGCTGGCTGGAAGGCCTGGAGCTCGCATGTGGGTGTGTGGATCAAAGCCCTGCAAAGCAACAAGATGGAAACTCCTTGAATAACATAGTTACGGACCAGTGAGTTTAATCAACATGGGAGTATTTCCAAAAAGGGATACATAGCCATTTGGGAAAATGTACTGTTTTGCTCTCTGGTCTAAACTAGAAGATCATATTCGTCAGTTGTATATGATGCTACAGCCCGCAGCGTATTAATGTGGCTTAGCATAGAGAATGGAAACAGGAAAACAAGCTAGCCTAGCCCCATGCAAAAGTCCTTGTGGGCGTGCATGAGAAAACGCTGACCTACTCATAGATAAACAGCGTCGCAGAGTCAACTCTGGGCAAGAGGCTGCGTGTCAAACTACTATTTTGTGTAACGTGCAACGCTTTAAGGTTACTCTGACTACTGCAGCGTAAGGAGGCAGGAAAGCGTGTTACCATGGGCGAGCGTCCATAGGCTGCAGCTGCTGCAGCGCTCATCTGAGGGGAGATGTGCAGGCCAGCGTACACACCAGGACTGGTTAGGCCTCCATTCATCTCATGATGGCCCATCATGGCAAAGGGGGTAGGGTAGGAGCCAGCGATGGACAGGGGGGTACGCAAAGCGGGTGCTGCTGCAGACAGAGACAGCATTGGTAACATCACAGTACATTAGGATGTTAGAAAAGAAAATAATAGCAGTTGCTTGTGAGAAAGAAAGAGGGATACCAACCTAGAGCCTCCATGCCTGGTGGTTTGCCCAGGATGGGTCTAAGCCCAGGGGTGGAGCTGGTGCCAGGGGTGGGGGCATCGTTGCGGGGGGTGGGGGTGTTGGACTTGAGAACAGGCGTGGAGGATTTGTCGTTCTGTCAAGGGAAGGAGAGAGCAAGCACATTCACAATCCCGCATGTCAAGCACTGTGCAGATTGACAATTTGAGAGCAAACTGAACTTAATCCAATCTAATTCTGACAACCCTCATAGTCCTGCAGAGCCATAAACTGCTATTTATTCTAAAACCTATTATGGTCACAATGGAGATGCGGCCGTTTTTATCCCTTTACTGCTTTGGCTTTAATCTTTTAGTGAGCCAAAGGGGGAAAAAATCCTGGAGGAGTTAAATACATTGAGCTATTAACAGAGAAGACCTGACTGATCCTGATGCGGGACAATATTATCCCTGACGTTTAGTCATGCACTTAAAGCACCGACAGCCATTCTTAATCCACTGCGGAAAACGGCCTAGATTATTTTGCACACATCCCTTTGCTCTCTCCGCTATTCTCATTTAAACCCTTTCTGTCCTAGTTTGTTCGTAACCCTCTCGTGTCTTACATGACTGAGCTCCTTGGCCTTGGATGACGGTGTGCTCCCAGAGGACGCCACTGACGCGGGGCTGTTGGGTGTGTCCTTTTTTTGAGGGCGGGGCTTATCAATGCCATTTTCGGGAGGTGAGTGGGTGGGGCTTGCTCTCGGAGTGGCGGGGTCCTGGAGAAACACGGCAATACTTCGAGTCATGCAGCAGCTGCGTCTGGGTACGTGTCGATATGCCATTCACTGTTGCACGCTGTTCTGCTCACCTCATTAGACACGTCCACCACCAGGTCATCGCTTTTCTCTCCGTCACTGTCCTGTAAAAGATACGCTTTCGAGGTGAGCCGAGCTGACGGAAGGACATGGTGGCGCATGTCAAACTTCCTGGTTTGATCTTTGTTAAGGAAGCGGATTCCCTTAAGAACTCACATATCTGCTCAGACTGTCCTTCTCCTCCACTTTGCGTTTCTTCGAGTCCAGACTGTAGTCGGAGGAGCTGCGGTGCTTCTCACTGGCCGTGCGTAAGCTTTCAGACGGGGATACCGAGTTATTCTGCGAAGAGAAAGACCAAACATACTTTATTAGCATTTCGCCGCCCGTTACGAAAGAGAGCGGCGTGTCATTCCGTCGCTCACTGTGCCGACCCCGAACATGCATGCACACGAGGGATGCTGCAGACTCTTAAAATGCAGCTGTGGGCCAGCTCCAAGCAGTACCCTGACACCGGCCAAGCCCAATCTCACACACACACAAGCCTGTCCCTGGCCAGGCAAGAGAATGGGCCGTTATCTGAACTGAAAGGAGTAGGTCTTGTCTTCTGGGCTGGGCTCCCTCCTCCTCATAACTGGACAACAAACAGCCTCACAGGGACATGAGCAGTGTGTTAGGGCTGAACAGAGGGCCTTTTCTCCGGAGTCAGTCAGGCTAAGCGTGTGAGAGACAGAGAGAGGGAGAGAGTAGATGTATGTTGGGGGGCATTGATTTGCGCAGCGCGCTCGGGCAGCATGTCAGCTCAGGCTTTGAGCTCCGATAAAGAAAGAGAATCTATATCCCGCCAGTGGGCACGGCAGCGTGGGACTGACTGGTGCTTCTCCATGGATGCTGCCCGCCCACACAAGCCGGGACAGCTCATTCCGAGCGCCAACAGAATGGGAGGCCCGAGGAAGGCGTCCAGCAGCTTTGACGGGAGTTAGCCGTCTGCCCGGAAACTGCCAAGTTCTCCCCATTCCCTGAGGTCCCTTCTTCGAGGTGAACAACGGCCGATGGACTAGCAGCCCGGGCAAAGGGCCGATGTCTGCATAATGGCTGACCTTAAAAGAGATGCTTAGCGTGACTCATTAACTAAAGTCACCACTCTGCTATCAGATGACCTGGGACAAGAGCACAGAAACAAAACAGGCCTGCTAATCGGCCCTGGAGTTCTATTTCTTCAGACGTGACTGCACCCATTCAGCGGGGCCGGCCTACAGAAAGACAATCTCACATGCACATCACAGGCCATCAGAGATTGCAGCCATTCCAATAAAACGCTTTAGCGGGTCCACCAGACGGGGCGGATAAAAAAAACAAAACAGTGCCGTTTGTTTTCAGGAATATTCATCAAATGCCAAGAAAGAGAGCGAGCTGGTAAACAAGGGAGACCGTAGAAGGGATCAAATAAATCCCTTAAGAAGGGGAAGTCAAAGTCTTTCTTTAATTGTGATGAAATTACAAGGCTTCTAATCTCTCCAGCATGATACCAGTCATTTCCCTTCTGGCTTAAATACGCAGGACTTATATTCCAAGCCTCATTTCCAATTAATCATTTTATTGAAAGCAGATTACAACAGTGCATAAAATCAGCGGTAAGCAGCGCTGCTGGCAGGAATTTGTACTTGACATTCGCAGTGCAAATGAAAGTGTGATGAATAATAAAAACCCGACGAGCCCGGATACCAAAAAGTAGTTGCGGGTTTAGACACTCACCGTGTTCTCTGTATCGCAGACATCACAATGGCGACAGAGGTGAAACCAAGTGGAGCAAAGAGAAATACGCGTCAGTTAGCATATCATAATAGATGCTTCTGGCAGAAAGTGTGAGAATCAGCTGCAGGGCACACGGCCTCTCTTATCAACGTGTGTTGGAGCTGCAGTCATGAGCTGGGAATGTACCAGCTCATTACCCAGACAGAATGTGAACCGACACCATGTGCTCCTCACCTGAGGGCCGTGCCATTCTGCTCTCGAATGTGAAAAGCGTTAAAAATGGCGTTTTCCCTGTTTAACATCTATGCAATAATTCTAAAATATATATATACACACATTCTAATCCTGCAGCTGATCCCACAATTGGACGGAAAGATCTGCCTGAGGTCAACGCCTCACCTCTGTGTTCGAGATCATGGTGGTTCTTCTCATCCTTCACTGGGAGGTGGGCCTGGCTGCCGAGGGCACCCAGCGCCAGCAGACCTGACCCGGAGCCCGCCACCGGCGGGATGCCGGGCGGCTGGAGGCCTGAAGGGTGCGGCGGCAGCTGGACGGGAGGCCCGTGAGCGGCATGGGAGAGGTGCTGTGCCTGAAGCTGTTGCTGCTGCAAGTGGACAAGGAGAAAAACAACGAGTGGGTCGGAGGGGGGGAAAGCAAGCAGAAACCACATACTAAACACCAGGCTCATCACTTAAACCCTGGATGATATTAGCGCATTCACACAGCTATTAATGTCAGGAACCGACAGCAATCCCCCTTTGTGCTATTTCCGTTCCGGGGCCGGGGTGGCGTAAGCCCTAGATCTCCGCCGAGGAGAGTAGAAGTTACAAACGATCAACTGCTCAACACGTTGAAGGCACGAGTCGCAGGGCTGGAGACACTCAATCGCACGCCGTTAGCAGCGCACGATGAGGTGAGAAGAAAAAGAAAAGTGTAATGTACATTAAGTTTGATTTGATCAAAGCTTAACGCAGAGGCATCATTTCACTCCAAGTATAACAGGGCACTTTAAACTGCAGCGCCACTATGCCATCAGTGAGTTAAGAAATCCTCTTAAGGAACACAAAGCTGTGTGGGAATGCGTCAGCCTGTGGGTTAAACAACTACCTGCTTTTAAACACTTCAAAAACACAACCAGCGTCTATTTACTCCTTTCATGTTCATGTTCCTGGGTTAACGGAACATGAATCATTTGCACACACGTACTTTGAGAGACTGGGGAACACTAAGTGCCACAAGCTGGCACTCCCTCCCTGTGTGTGTGTGTGTGTGTGTGTGTGTGCCCCTGGAAGGCTGCTGTGGGAGCCGGGACCAGGGGGTCCCATGCCGGCTCTCAGTCAACCCGCCAATATACACCATCAATATTTGAAAGGCACAGGGAAATGGATGGGAGTTAAAAGGCACTCAGCATGGAAGTAAGCAGTTTAAAGCAAGGTTAAATAATACTTAGCTGAGACACCAATAAAAACATCAGCAATTTATTACCGGTCTACGAGCCGGCTGAATAATTCAGCTGCTGTTACAGCGCGCACCTCCTCTCTTCCACAAGACGGACTTCAATCGGTGACCATTTATGGCCATTTCAGGTATATTAGGCACTTAGCGGGTACTGGGGAGTTGCTGCAACACAATGTGATGGACTTGCGCATTGCATTGATAAAAATACATTAACTTAGTAGGTAACTTGCACTCAACGTACCTTTAAAAACTTTAAAAAGATATTTAGTCTTAGGCCACCTTTTAAAACATCTCCTTAAAAATCATATCTGGGGCGTCTTTTTAATTGGTTCTCCATTATCTACCCTGAAGGTAGAGAAGACGAGATTGAAAAATGTGTGAGGTTTTTAACTTGCAACCTTGTCCTTTGCGTCAGTGGGCAGATGTCATTCCAATTACAAAATGTGTGTGTGTGTGTGTGTGTGCGAGAGGCAGGAAGAAGGACAGACAGAGAGAGAAGGCGGGGGGGGGGATATATTGTTTCCATGAGGGAAATTAAGGAGCCAGTTCATTGGCAGCGGAGAGCATCCTTGCTCATTGTGTTTAATGAGGCACTGATGGGTAATATGCGTGGTTGATCAGCAAGAGCCCTCATTAGAGGGCCATAAATGAAGACAATAATACATAAAGAAAAGAGTCTGGCCTATTTCCTCTAATTTAATATTCTAAGATAAAGACCCATGCCCCTTTTCTTTCAGAATGAGGAGAGCTACAGGAGAAAAAACACACACACAAGCAGGCAAAATTGAGCAGATGTATTATACGGGTCTCTAGCGTATTATCTACACCAACTATAGTGAAACGCCTAGCACAGAAAAAGTGCCGTGCAGCATGCAAAAAGCCCTTCAAGCCCAGATGTGTGCACACACACCAAGTAAATTAACAACAGCATGGCACATACAGACATGTGTGGATGCCACTGACCATGAGAGCCGGGTAGGCAGCCTGCTGCTGCTGAAAAGAAGGACAAAAAACAGTCAGCGCCACAGCTGCTCTAGAAGGCCTCTCTCCATCATTATACACGGCAAGGAATAGTATTACAGACAAAATACATTTGGCTTTTAAAACAAAGTCATCGTGTGGGTTCTTGCAGGTGGCCAATTGGAAACAGGGGAGCTTATCTGAATTACTTCAATATTTGGTGTGTTTTCTAATCAAACAGAAGCCGCCACCAGTCAGGTTCATCTCAACGCCAGGGACTGCCCTAGTTGCATCCTATTAATGGCCCAGAGTACCATCAATAAAGTATGCAGCTGGCTCCTGGATGCTGCCTGTCTGCCTGGCACACTATTTCCCCCCACCTTGCTTTACAATATGCATGAGGATTTTTGGAATGCCTACAGAGCTTCTCCTCGATGAATAACTAATGGGAAGGTATTCGTAAAACATACAGTAGCTACATTTCCACCCCCCTCTGACATGAGCAACGTCCATGACTTGTGCGAATACCGGACTTTTTCACACAACCGGCCGCATACCAGGTACGGCCGCATACTAAAACGATTGACGGGCTCACCCAATAGATTCAGAAAATATAGACCGGATGTATTATTATTGCAAAAGAACCATGACGAGCAACAAGTTCAAAGAACTATTCCAGCAATCACATGCACAGTTAGTAGTTTGGGTGAAACTTTGATAAAAGCACCGGCTGCGGTCCAACCGATTAAAAGAAGCAGCGCTCCATCACCTCATGACACCTAGTCAGACAAATCCTACCGAGCACCAGTTGAATTCCAATGTGTTCCTCCGGTCATCAAGTGGCACTTTTGGTCCCAGCCTCTTATGCGAAGGCCTCGGCAAGATTCAACCGTTAGTAATAAGACCCCGGCTACCCTGATCTTTGCATCGAGGGCGATCACCAATCACTTCTGGGAGTACAGCCGATCAATGAGGAGCAGATGGTGTTTTGAAGCGGTGATGGACACCATACATTGCAGCTCGGCGCGGCGGTGTGCAAACAGGAGCCGCTGTGACGGCTGACACGCAGCGCTGGCTGCCTTCTGCTCACCCTTAGCCTTTTAATTCCCACAGCTACCCGGGTCAGCAGTGAAGGATGAGGCTCCTCGTTAAAACCTTAGCCAATTAAAGCAATACAGGCTGCGAAGGGGATCTTGAGAGCTCTCAAGCTTGCATTTATCAAACACACAACAAGGCAGCGAAGGCGCCGCTCGAGACCAACGCTCGAGAAACAGACCGGCTCTTGAGAGCCAAGCTTGTTGTGTGTAGTTCGAATGTGCCGGTGAAGATTACAAAAAGCTCAATAGGACTAAACTACATGTGAACCCATTTGATTCAGCACTAATTCAAGCAGGCGGCACATCACACAGTTCCGGCTACTTTCGGCGTGCAAAGATGGAATTTACAGTGAGTGATCATGAAATGTAGAGTTGAAATAAAAAGGGGGTATACACACGGTGAGAGGCAGATTGGGAAGTCCACGTACCCCGATGATAGCATTCAGCTCAGTCATAGTCACCTGCTTAGCCCGCTCCACTGCCTGAGCAACCTGCTGCTGGTGCTGTGGGAAGACATTCGCAAAACCCATCACACACTAATCTGGGAATTTCACACTTCATGTAAAATACTGCTGCTGTCATTTTAACGTTGAGGGCGAACGCCTCACAAAAATTGCTGAACCTGAACCTTTGTTTTTTTTAAGCAGGAACCTTCTGAAACCAGGTGAGAATATTAAAGATATGATTCATTTTAGTCCTAAAACTGTGAACTGTTGGGGCGCGACATTCAAAACTCACCTCTTGTGACAGGAAAGGCATAATTTGAGCTAAAATTGCGTTGAGCCGCTTGGCAATCTCCGTCTGAAATACAAAAGAGGAGCAGAAATGACGGTTACGGCGCAGACAGTGACTTCACATAACCCCGCCTTTAATGTTTACACCGATTAAGTCAATTACCGCGGCAATCACAACGGCTTGACTCAACATCCTCTAAACAGCGTGATATTGACATTTGAAATATTTAAAACATTAGGAGAGCCCAAGGGGATGGAGCACAGCTGTGCTGAGAGTGCACTCCATGCTAAACGGATACGAGCAGACGGAGTGCTGCTGTGTTGAGAGGATCCTCTCCCGCTCTGCCCTCCTTCCCCTCATCCCAAACTCTGCCGTCCTGCAGTTAACCTCAACAGTCGAACCAAGCGGCCGCACCCCAGGAAGTGACGCCCACAGAGCGCGCTGCCCTGTTTACCGACACGTGACACTTCAAGGAGGGTCATAACTGTAGTTTGAGCAAAGATCACAAACCATAATGACCCAGAGGGCAACGCACCTCACGTCTGTGATCAATAGACCATTAGAGGGCAACTAGCAGCCTGCAAAGAATAGGAGCGCGGTGGGCTGGAGGCCTGGGACATTTCTCACTGCAATCAGCTGGCCGGTGCACCGCCCTCCCACCCTACCATCCATCCATCCACTCTTCGGCTTGTCTACCGACTGCCATGGCAACGGCTGCAGCCCTATCTTCCTGGGATCATTATGCAAATGGAACCTCTGCTTGACCGTAACAGGCTTTAAAATCATATTATGTGCTTGGAAGGCAGGTCATTAAATTGAATTTTCAGCCTGTCGATCACACGGACGCGGCAAATAAAAAGAGCAATGGGAGGAGGTGTTGGGAGTGGGTGCACCCCCCCCCCACCCTCTGTAAAAATACTGCACAGACGGCTTGTTCTGCCTCCTCTTTCTTTTCTTCGTCGTCTTCTTCTTCTTCTTCCAGGGACAGAAGATGAAACTGTCCGGTTCAAGCGCTGCGCTGGGAGCAGAAAAATAACAGTGCCAAAGCTACACCATCTATGGAATTTATGAGCTGGAGTTCAACCCAAGGCCACTGCGGAACACAAACACATCGCAGGGATTTTCTCCGATTTTTCATTTGGAGCAGCACACACACACACACACACACAATGTACTTTGCAGACCGCCAGCTTATTTATTACACATGGCAAAAATGCCAGGCAGTTTTGGCAGCCGGGCGTATTACTTCTGAGCAGAGCCAGAGAGATTGGAGAGCAATGTCCAACAGAACGAGACCTGCTGACCCAAGCCGCTACACGGATGGCCACTTAGCCGGGCAAGCCAGCAGCACAAACAAGCTGAAGATGAAATATCAGATGAGACAAAGTAAAGCCTGGGATCAGAAGCAATAATGTGAAACAAGTACACGGCAGCAGGTGCTACAGAAAGTACAACAATTCATGAGGCCACGCAGATTATAACTTCATTACTTTGTGCAGACAAAACAGACAACACATGTGGCGTACAGCCAATGAAGCAATGGAGGGTTAAGTAAAGGTTTCATCTGCATTAGCATTAATGCAATGTTGTAAGGGCTCAAGAACGCCCTCCGAAATGGTTGGAAAGCTACACAGCTTGTATAATCCAGGTTTGTCGAGATAAGCCATGTCAATAGCAGTCGAACATTTGACAGGATTTGTGAAAAGGCCTTGAGCGCACAGTCCATTCCTCCGTGGCTTAGTGTCATGGTGACAGCTGGCTGAGGAGGTCAGGAGGTGGCTGATCCACTGTGCGCCCCAAACAACTGGCAGACTTTCACAGCTCAACGTGCAAATAAATGGAAACGGCACCAACTTAGCTCGCCACCGCTGCCAGAATAGATACAGTGCAGCGTACGAAGGGCTGCTTTTTGTTTTTTGTTCTGCCCGGCAGATAAAAAAAAAAAGGGGCTGTTGTCACTTTAAGTAGATGACAGCCGGGCCCTCGAGAGGCCAGCTTTGCGCTGCTGCTACACAATTACAGGTACTCGGACCTGTGTAGCACCACTTTAAGTGCACTCTCAGGCTGGCTTGTCAATGGTGTGCAGAAAGGTATTCGCCTGTTGCTATCAGCGGTGGGGAAATGGACTCGAGACACTGATGAGTATTAAATACAGAGAAAAAAAAACTATTGTTGGCTCTGGTCACATGATCCATCTCTAAACAATACTTGACTAGTCAGATTCAAACCATCAGCTCATCTAAATAAGAAAATAAGTTGTTTCCACTAAATCGGGATGTTATTGTGAGGCCAATGACCCAAATACATTACTAATTGGAATTTGAAGTTATTTGTAGTAAGTAAGTAATCGAGCAGGGCCCACAGCGGGCCTGAATGGATGCATGAGATTAGTATAATAAACCTTGTCGGCTGCGGCACTCGGCCGGGTCTTGGCTAAAGGACGGCCGTGACCACAAAACAACAAACATATTCTAAGAAAAATAACATTAAATCATAACTTCTTCATCAAGCCAGATCTCAAAACACTATTACGTTCCGTTTATAGGAGTGGGCCTGACACCCAAGAGTTCAGACCATGTCAAGTCCCACATGACAGATTGGGGATATGGGAGCATGGGAGCATTTAAGGCTTGGACAGCCACAGTTTTTCCCCCACCACTTCTCCCTGGATGCCTCTTTTGTATGAACACTGCAGACAGTCAGCTGGCGGGCCGAGTTTGTTTTGGCCCCGGCTATGGCAGATAGCTCGCTACTACTAGCAAACGATTCCTGCAGCCATGTGTCTCGCGTCTGTTTTAAGACTGCAGGTAAAAGCCAAATCGGATCGGGCCTCACCGACACCCAGAGGTCCAAACCCCCAAGCAGCCCTGGGAAACCAGCGGCAGATGATGGTGATTCCCGGCTAACAACGCGCGGCGGGAAATTAGCCGTTTGCGCCTACACACTGTCATAGCTGATAGAGGGGGATCAGAAAACACCGCCACATCAGTCCACCCGAGCCGTGCCAGTGTGTGTGTGTGTGTGTGTGTGTGTGTGTGTGTGTGTGTGTGTTCTGAAATCTAAATGATGTCCCTGCACGGTAATGAAAAAGGCACAGTTAGAGGAATGGATTTCCTCACAATGGAATGAATCTCCTGGCAGGAAAATAAAATGCCTATGTGCATCCAATAATCCATCCCAACCCTGCCTGTAAACCACTCCCCATCTCCCCCCCCCCCGGCTGAGCTGTAAACTAGGGAGCTGCATGGACGGGGGCCACACTGTTTGCTCACAAACACGCCGTTCAGCAGGTTAGGGCCCCTCCGATGAATTATTCAAGCGCTTCCATCAGCTCTGTAGAGGTTCCTGATAAAAGTCAGGCGCTAAAATGGATCAGTCGATTAACCTGTTTACACAGAGCTGGGCTGCTGCTGCCCCCCGGCTCGTCTCAGCCCCCCCCATCCCCCTCCTTCTCCTCTGGTCGGCGATAAGTGCCTGACAGAAGCTATCAGAGCGGCCCGAGCCCTGACAGACATGTGGCAGTGTGACACACGGCTCAAGACACTGATGGATCACCACAGCACACCAATCCGCCATGTCTCCAACGCCATTAACCAGGCTACGCTGTCGCAGGGGGGGGAGGCCTCGCCGGCTGAAGAGCAGCGTACGCAGGAAATCTCCGGATTAGTCATTTATTCAATCTTTATCTCTGCAGGCATCAGTATGACTGATCAGGGGAGCAATACATGGTGGGATCTTTTGATAAGATATGTGATTAGAGGACTTTTGACCCTCTCTCGTAATTACTGTTCATCTCGAAAAGAAATACGGAGCCATCCAGCTATCCTCGCTCTTAAATCATCCAGTCAGAGGCTGAGCCCGCCAAAGTCTACCTTTAATCTTATCGAAAGGCTGCGACAAATCCAGGCTTAACAACACAGCAATTATCCGGCTGCACTGCCTCATGCGTATGCAACACGTCCTTCCGTTTACAGCCCATGACCAACGGGAAGATCAGCTCACGGCCCTCCGAGCGCTCCAGCCTCCGCCTGAAAATTGTGGAAAACCACGGAGCGGAAAAAAGATGAGGAAGATGAGGTACGTACCTGTTTGTGCATCTCTATGTTCAGCCCGTAGGACATCTCATAATACTGAAACGAAAGCAAACATTTCATTGTGGTTAATGACGGCGCGCTCACGGTCAGGTTGCAGCAGCATTTAACGCATGTTTGGGATAACTTTGAGATTCTTAATGAAGTGGCTTTTGTTTAAAAATGACAGTGTGACGCCGCGGCTACAAAGAAATCGCAAAACTAATTTCATCGTCAAAAAAAGGTGTCGGAGGAAAAAGGGAGTTATTTGAGCAGCTATTTGAGCAGCTAACAGTAAAAGCCAATAAATCAATATATTGTTGTTCGTAGGGAAGGCACAGTGAAGGTCGGGTTAGAGTTATCGATCAGCAAACACACCGATCCCCGGGACTTGGCGTAAACACGAATGCTCAACACTTGATATTTTGAAGACAGGTCAGTCTGTCTGGGTGAAATGTAATCCGCGAAAGCCCACAAGTGGCAGCCGGGGCAGAAATGGCTTTCCAGTCAGCGTCTATTTGATGAGGCCAATGCATTATTCAGTCCATTAGCTTCTTCGAAAATTACTCTCAAACAAGAGAGAGCCGTTCTGAGATCAGAGCCCCGCAGCCGTGGAGTAACCCGACACCCAGTGCCGGCTTGAGGGATACTTCCCGACATGTTTACCTAACCTCCCCCCCTGTCAGGGCGACATGTTGTTTTCCTGTGAAAAGAATGTTTAACTTAAGCCTGCATGTGTTGGTTTACGTCACCCCCCCGGTGTGTTTGCCTGGGACAACAGAACAACCTCCCCGGATTGCGTCACGTCTGAGCTGGGCTCCTGCGTCATGAGCACGCCCGCGTTTCAATGAAGGCTAATGATCCAGGTCCCACACAGAAGCCCGGGTCCAACTGCTGCAGAAAGAAATGGCAGCAAGGTTCCCGCGTCCTCCATTTTGTCTTTGCCGCACAAACCGCCGTGGCCCTCGGCATCAGCTCACGGCTAATTTGTGAGCGTGCATATGTCGGGCCGCGGCGTCTCCTAGGAGAATAATCAGATCAGCACACACACACACACACACACACACAGAGGGCAGCGCCGCAGTCGACCCCCGGCGATCGGGGTCGCACAATAAGGGAGGCTCTCCCCCCACCTGCCTGTCAGGAAGAGCGCCTCCGTAACAACCAGCTACAGCGAACCCCCCCCCCCGGGGCCTTTCACAGGCCCGTACCTGACATTCAACCCGCCCCAACCACCACACAGGTGATCACAATAGCCCGCCTCGCTCCGCCCCAACTAGATCCTCAACAAGCCTCGCCATTTGGGAGCGTAATTGCTCCCCGTTGTAACATAATCTTACCATGACATAGTGGCGCTGCATCTCCGTCTTCTCATTGGCCAGTTTGTCGTACTCCACCTTAAGACTAAAATAGAAGAGAGGGTGTCAATTTTCCGCATCTCTAGAACTTCAATAACTCACTCACACTTAACCCCTTGACGTCAGAGAATTTGAGAAAAAAAAACTGCAGATTTTTATTCCTTCAACAAGTAAATAATGATCTTTAACCTTAATTATTGAATGGAGAGAAAATGCGTGTCGCACTTTGAGGAGATAAGCCGCCATCATTACCTGTGATACTGTGCTTGCAGGAACTGAAATTCATCTTTAATCCTGTCACAAGACTCGGCTACAGTGAATTTGAAGCCAGGCTGACCGGGCTGATGTGGAGCCTGAAAAGAAAGGTTGTATTGAAGAAGAAGAAAAAAAAGGAATCACCTCAGTCCTGGCACATAAGAAAGTAGTACATTTCATTTTGCCAAAAAAAGTGAGAAGACTAGTTTCCCCATTAGACTACTTTGATAATCACCTCTGCAGTAAGTAAGACATTATCACCACACCAGAAAGGTGGTCTACTTCACACCTCCAGAAGCTAATAACACAACATGAATAGGCTTTCACACCGAGAAGGAAATCTAATCTGAAAATGGATTCAAACCACCACCTGTCCCCGTACTCAGCGGTGTCATATCATATGTTGGTGTATGGCTGAGTAAATATCTCCAGGCATGCGAACCATCTGCATCCATTTACCACTAAGTGCATGTTCTGGTGTAGCATGAATGCATTGTGATATAACCATATAGATTTTATGAGTTGCATTGGAGGTGTGTGTGTGGGGGGGGCAAGTCAGGAAACATGTCAACATCAGAGTTGTCAGACAGATATGGAAGCTGCAGTAAGTGCACAGAGAAAGAGCTGCTTACCGGATGTCGGCCCTGTGGATACATCTTGAAATGTATCCTTTGTTTATCTCTCCAGCGTGCGCGTCCTTTGGCAAAACGGTTGAAATGTGCTCACAGCCACACCGGTCTCAGCAGGCACCGGGGGGGGGGGGGGCGTGGGAGGGAGGGGGGGGACTGGGAAATTAACTCTGTTGAAAAATGAAGCGGTTTAATCTTTAGACGAACAAAAAAACAACAACAACAAAAAAAGAAAATGAAAACAGAACAGAATCCAGAGCACGTTGGTCGCTAATAAGTAGTCAGAACACCGAACTCGTTCCGGTTGGAGGCAGTTGGAGCCGCGTCTCAAAAGCGCCGCTGCGCTTTCTCGGTGACCTTATCCGGGCAGTGGTCAAGCGATATACTACACAAATATAAATGGCTTTACAATTTAAAAGTACTAAAACACACAACATAGACTAAAGAAACGCGCTCACGTCGTCCGTCTTTCTTTTCTTTTCTTTTTTTTTCTTTTCTTTTTTACAAACGCTCGCGTTTGGTTCGTTTGTCTCGGACTCTTAATCCGGATTGATGGTCGTCAAACGGCACGAAACCCCGCGCTAGGACGCCTCCGGTCCGGCTTCCACCGATTTTCACTCCGCCGACACTCGGTGAGGACGGTGCGCTGTTGAGCGTTCACACGCCCCGGGATAAAAAATTAAAAAAAACCTATAATACTAATAAACTGGAATAAAGAAATCAAGCGCTCTGCTTTAATACATACCTGTGCGTGCGTCTTAACAGTCACTCCGACTTTTGTTCCAGAATCAAAAGAAGAAAAAAACAAAGTAGGCTATAATTCATGCGCTTAATCCCTTTTAATGTAAGCGTGGTGGACGCGGATCTCGACAAGCATCCTCTCTCTCTCTCTCTATCGCGCGCGCGCTCTCTCTCTCTCTGACCGGGGGAGCAGTTGGGAGAAAATGTGGTGCGGTCGAGGCTCGATTAAACTACTTTATTCTCCGCCGCGAACCTCAGAGGGATGCGCTCCTTTCGTGGCTGGTTAATCCCAAAATGAAGAAGAAAATAATTCCAAAAACCTGCCTCCCGACTCGAATACGTTGGCGATTCTTTAAAAGCGTAACATGGTACTCTCCGCAATCTCGCATTTCCCCCAGTTGTCCAGTTTACCCCGGTTGCCACACACAGGCAGCAGTGCTGAACTGCCGTGAAAGCGTCTATCTGTCCAATCGGATTACTCGGAAGGAGTAAAAACCACATCTGCCTATCGGAGAGCGACGGCCCCCACGTGGGGTTCAGCGATACATGACATCATCCCGCGGATCCACAAGGCATCATCCCTCCGTCCCACCGTGTACAACAACAGCAGGCAGTGATGTGCCGACGATGATATCCATATTTGACAGAGACAACACAAATTCCACATCCGCAAATCATTAGGGGGTTATTTTTTTGTTGATGCATTGGGGGGGGGGGGGCGCCACCGCTACGGGGAGGAAGCTGCCGTTCTTGAATTGATATCAACATACAACATACAAGGAAAAGGAGGGGGAAATGGGAGCTTGTTTTTAATACATAGGTATAAAATGAGAAGCAATGCTACTGTGAAACACCGAAAGTAATGTCCCAAATCAGAAACACACACACACACACATACATACACACACCGGGAATGACACAATAATGACCAATCGATCTACGATATCCACCCAAATAAAGCCATGGGGCCGACTCGACATTTTAGTTTAAAATATCTCGTGATTCTTGCATAACCACATCCGCACGCCAACCTATCAGCATTTGTGTAATGGTTACACTGCGGGGAAGAGAATAAATGATTGTCTTTGTCTGATACGAACATCAGCCATGTCTGAACGGAGCCTCTGCGCCTCGTTCTGAAGGTTCACTTCGGCCCCACGTGGGACTCCTCTGCGGCTTTAAGGCCCCTCGTCCAATGGCAGCGCGGCGCACTTACTCGCTGGCTTCCCATTGGTCCAGAGGCCTCCAGCCTGTCATTCTGCGAGCAGCGTTGTCAATCAATACCACGCGGGGTCAAGCGCTGACAAATGCCTGTGCTCCTCGGTCCTCTGCCTGTGAATAGAGCCTGGAATGGCTGCTTAATTAGCTTCGAATGGCTTTTCTCTCCAGTTCAAACAATCTGTTACCACCACGTGGTAATGAGAGCCTACATTAAACAAAGGAAAAAAGGAAGCATGCAAACAGTTGTAACATTACAACCTGTAGTTTTCCTTTACGTACGTGAAGGCTTCTTGTTTACCTTTATCGAAAAGGCCAAATGAACCTGTTCTAACACTAAACCTGAGTGTGATATTAATGTCGTGCTATATGCAAGGCGGAAAGTAGTGTTTCCACATTCAAACATCACAAATACGACACTTGTCTTAACACTTAAATGAGGAAAAACAACAGCCACATGGGTAAAAATAGACTTTTTATACTACACCAGTCTTTTAATATATAAAAGATGTCCAATTAGCAAGAAATCTAAAGTCTGGTCGCTGCAGGCAGTCTATTAATCATATAAAAACCGAATCTATTTCTGTCGATAAAGGAAATTTGGTCTAAATTACAGAACAAGCATCCATGTCTCCCACGGAGAATGTAGCACTAGTCCTTTGGGAATGCTAAGGTCATTTTGTCATGTTAAGGTCTGAGATTGCCCAGCAGTGGTCTTACTTGTCATTCTTGTCAGCCACCTTGAGGATGTGGGATAACCGTGTTATTTCCAAGAGTATGGAGGCAGTCTGTGAGAAACTCAAGCACACACAAGAGCTGGCGGGCTAATCTCAGCCAGGCACCCCCTCACGCTTCTCAATAGAGAGTGCTTGGATTAAAGGCAACAAAAGGCCGGGCCAAACCCCAGGGAGAGGGGGCCCTCCACCCACTGAGACCCCCACACTGTTTATTTACACGGAAACCCCAGCCTCAGTGAAACTCCCACCCTCGGGCAGTACACACTGGCCTATTTGCAAAGGTGGTTCTAATTCTTGACAGAGCAGGGATTGTCCTCACTCCTGCCACCTTGAACTCAGGAGCAACTTGCTCTCCATATAGCGCTGATATAGTTATGGGGCAAACGTTTCGCTTCCTCCACAAAACGATTGCTGCAGGACTTTTTGGGGCTGTAACTGAAACACTGCATTTCTTTAGAAATATTTGTATTACTCCACCAGGGTACCTTTTATTGATACATTTTTTTTTATGCCGCAAACCAAGGCAAAGGTCAACGATTTGGTGGAATATATCCGATTATAATGTATTGGCTCATTAATGTGACTTGCAGTTAATAAACCACGTGGTCATTTTTCTCTTTCGTACAGGCTCAATTTCGTGTTCACGAAGCAGAAAATGTTTACTATCGCAGTGACTTACACTTGTTGTGTAATGCACATGCTGTTTACATGGAAATGAACGCAGGCACATACTGCACACTCACAAACAAACACACGCATGCTGTTGCAGCCACGTCATTCACAGGCAGGAGGCAGAAATTCACAAACACACACACGCACGCTCCATGCAACAAAGGGCCAGTGTGTGGTGGAAAGATGAATTGCTGGCACTGTATTATCAGTATGTCTCATCACTCAGTAATCAATGAAAAAAATGATCCTAAAAAGACAAGTCCTTATCAAAAGAGAAAAATAAAGACACAAAGAGCGTCTTCAAACAAAATGATGAGCTCTTTTGCAGGAAACCTGCTGTATTTTAGGAGGACATAAAGCACTTACATTCATATCTTGTCAATCATTCCTCGTTGATAATTATGAGAACAGACATTAACAACTGCACATGTGCTACATGTGTGTGATTAAGAGAAAGATTATATACTTTTATTTCTGCAGACATAAACATTTTACTTTCAATAATCTTCTTTCTACATTTCCTTTCAGACACATTTCGTTGGTCTCTTAGAGGATTAGTTTAGTACCAATGTCTTTCCATAGCATAAAATGATCAATGTCTAGAAAAGAATATAATCTAAATGTAAAATATGAACTCACAGCGGGTCTCGGATTTTGTGGTTCTCTTAGTACGTAGGCTCAGATTATGTGTCAATATTTCCCAACTCTTGATGATGCAAGCGGTGACGTTTTTCAGTGAAATCTCTCACATTGTGCAAAGAAAGGATCATTTGGTTTGTGGATGGCCCAGCGCTGTGCTTTCTCATGCTAACATACAAAGTGATGATGTAAAGTTTAAAACGCTGTTGACGTCCATAAAGTAGACGTGACAATAAAACTGTCTTGAGTGTTTATTGGCCGTGTTTGTTTATCTATCCGTGGAACTGCCACAACGGCATCATCTCTCAATTACAGTTTAGTCCAATAAATCAAAGAGTCCATAAACTATATGCAGCTGATACACAGGAAGCCTCAGAAGCTCTGCAACACAGTCCGGATGCTGAACCGGCTGATACATGAACACCTCTCCCTCCTCATACAGCCTCATGATTGTGCACGCAGTTGTTATCTTGCTATGTTGTTGTTGTTGTTGTTCTCCACCACACACTGCAGACCTGGAGGGCCGGCAGTTATATTCTTATCCACTTCAATTCAGCAGCATTCGTCCAGAGAGGTGGTGGGGAGGGAAGGAGGGGGGGGGGGGGGGGCGTTCGCCCTTCTGAATGCCACGGTTCTCTCACACCCTTCACACGGCATAATCAACAATTCAGGGAAATCGGAATAGCTCGTTCGACAGACCCTCAGCTCACAAAACGCAGAGCTGCGTCATTACTGTTTTGACAACAAACTGCATGCACAGCTGGAGCTGCAAGGCCATGTGCATTGAATTAATCCGTGGCAGCTCTCCCTCCGGACACAGATGCTATCAAAAGATTAAGGAGGATCAAGCTGTACCAGTTGATCGAGAAGACCTTGAGTTGGGCTCAAAAAAGATTGTGTTACTCTAATCCAGTTTGCTAAATGGCTGATGTGATTAAAAAGAGTCTTCAGGCCTAAATTCAGTTATGGTCATTTATTACATTCACATGTTGTGGGAATGACTTCACATGACTGTCTGGAAGGAAAATGTGTTGTCAAGGTAACAGCGAGCAAGAAAACAGCAATTGCTACTGAGGTCAGAGTCACAATGGTTTGGCCGAGGGCCTCATGAGAGTGGAGATTAATTTCCCCGTGCATCAACAGGCCGCGTAACTGCTTACGGTGGAGAAAAACCGCGAAGAAGCAGCTTTTGTAGAGGTCAATGCTTCCATGAGTTCGTTGCAGAGTGTGATGAAAGGTGAGCTGAGCTCTTTCACGATCTCCACAACGAAAATGTCCTTTTCTGAAGTATATCTCAGAAATCTCCTCGCGAGGCCGCCTGCTTCTGTCCTCGTGTACGCTGCATCGTGCTGCCTCTGCCTCGCTGAGGAGCATTTCGTATTCCCTGGCACACAGCATTATAGCTCCAGTCCTCCGTGCCAAATTGACTCCACAAGTGCTCCTAGGCTGACTGACACCTGCTTGCCGAAAATGATTCCTCAGCCAGCAGCCGGGCATCGCTGCTCGCTCTGGAGGGCCACTTCATTCCATTATTAAGTTGAAAAGGCGGGAGAGAGAGAGAGAGAGAGAGGGGATGGGGAGAAGAAAAAAAGAAGCCCGACCGCGTATGGAGAAGAATAATAGAGAGCTGAGGAAGCTATCAGAGCAGCAGAGAGTAAGCCTGCCGCCTGACAGCAGATCAGAGCGCTCCCCCCAGCCGGAACCTCCCCCCCCCCCCGCTCAGGACGACCAGGACGATGAGCTCTGCTGTACGGGACGGGTCAGAGCAGCAGCACCTGAAGTGTACATCAGCCCCACGTCCACGCCACAGCACACATCCATTCAGCAGCAGAAAAGGAGGAAGTATTTAAATCCTTTTGCTGAAGCAGCGCGGAAAGTAACTGCTGCAGAACAGCTTGGACTTTTAGCCCAGTACATTTGATTTGACAGTGGCATTTAGGAACGCTTCAGAATAAGGGTAACTGTACGAAAAGCATTTTACGAGCACTCAACTTATTTGTAAAAGGTGCCTAATGGATTGTGAGTTCTTACAAAAAAACGTGTTTTTTGGAAATGTTTCAGTCTGTGAGTTATTAGCCGTTCAACCAGAAATACATTTCTCCTCTAAACGTCCTGCATGGGTTCATGTGAATAACTGTTTCAAGGCCCAAAGAAGTGAAGTAGTCAAATATAACTATTTACTTTTATGACGTGTCCTTTCGAAAGGGCCCAACC